ATTACACTAAGTAACAAAATTAGTCATCTTTTAGTACTGTAATTATAGTTACTGCAGAAATAAAACCTTTGAAATGATGTAGAACTTCCTAAAGGAAATTACTAATGCTTTATAAAAAATATGAACAGTTCCTACATTTGATATCATTGAAAGCTGAATCCAGTTTGGGCCTTAGGCATTTGTTAATGCACTAGAAAATATTACTGTTAGTATATCTCATGGAGTCCTAGAATTGGAAAAACCTTGGAGGTGATCTCAGTTTTTCATATTTTAGATGAGGAAACAGAGAGGCTAAGTGTTTTGTTTAAGGTCACAAATATGCAGAATTGTGACTTCATTATGGACTTCTTTAATACGTACCATGGGCTTTGAAGTCAGTATCAATGTAAAGCAAAATTTTTATATTTCTGCTATACTGTTATTTATATCCAAATTAGGCTTAGGTTATCTTCCTTGTTGGTGCATCTTCTTTGTGCTGTATTTTTTGTTACTTTGCAGATGTACTAGTGATTTTTCTTTTACTTAGAACCATTTTTAGAATAATAAAGAAGGGTTAGAGAATCTACATTTTTGTTTGTCTGTGTATTGTCTAGAAGCAGGAACATAGCATCTGAGTTCACCTGTGCAAGTGTGAAGTGAGATTTAAATGACACTTGGAGAATGATGAGTTCCAAGCCAGTCAGAGCTCTGGGAACCAAGGCACATTTACAGACTGTTTTCGAAGCTTAATATCCAATGCACCCATTAGCTAAAATTTTTATAAGATACTAGGCACCATCTAGGAAGACATTGGAAACAAAACCTAAAGCATTTTTTTTTCTTTCCTTCCAGTACTGGGGATCGAACTCATGACCACCTGCTGCAAGGGCAGGTGCTTATGCCGCTGAGCTAAATCCCCAGCCCCCTCTTAAAGCATTTTTTAACCTTTATACAAAAGTATGATGCATTTGGATATTGCTATTATTAAATGACACCTGAAAATATATTTCAGTTTTGATGACCATTTCTTGAGAAAAATTAGAAAATAAAAGGAGTAGGAAAGGGTGTTACCAGCATGAAATAAGTGTTTTTAAAAAATTGATGTGAAGTATAATGTGATTTAAATGTAAAGCTGTCATTAACTGGATAGATTTTTTAACAATGGGTCTATTTATGAAATTCAGAAAATACTTAGTGACTAGGTATTTTTCAGAGATAAAAGAAAGTACCCTCTTCCTGGGGTAGCTAGTTAGGAACTTAGTATCCTAGCAATCAGGTAAAAATGAAGAATTTAAAAAAGATTAGATAAACATATGAGTATTTTGTTCATATGAAATAATACACAAAGAAGGATACTCCTGAAGGGCTTGTCTTTAACTTTTTGCAGGTCAAGGTCATGTCATGTGGTGACTCAGAATAGTGAACTAAATAGACCAAGGTCCTGACTTAGAGTGAAAGGTCTCATGAGCAAAAAACAACCTTTCTAATATAAGGGAAAAGGAATTTTTAGTTGAATAAAAATGGTAGGTAAAACTATAGAAGTTGAAAGTTTTAGTGTTAGTTTTGAAAGTTTCCCCACAAAGAAGGGGAAAATTGAAGCCTGCAAAAAGCGAGTCTCAGAAAGGAATTTTATATGAATTCCAGCTTGAATAACCATAAGATGTGAATATATTGATGCAAACAAACCCATCATTTTGCAATGATTTGTGAATGATAAAATAATGAAATGAAAGTTTTAAATTCCTTAGAAATCTGGCACTTAAATTGGTCACCAAAGTTTCTTATACAAAATTTAGAAAATGAAAAACAGATGTCTACTTTGAAAGTGTTTCTGAATTACATCCATTGATATCTATTCACAGTCCTACATGAAGAATAAAAAAGTAGGTAGAAATGAAACTGAATAAAAAGTGAATTCTACAGCTATTTGGAATGCTGCCAACTTTTTTTTTTTTTTTTTTTTGGTCTTTTTCCTTTTTATCGGTACCAGGGATCGAACTCACGACTGCCTGCTTGCAAGGCAGGTGCTTATGCTGCTGAGCTAAATCCCCAGCCCAATGCTGCCAACTTTTTCACCTTTCAAAAAATTTTCAAATTTTATTTTATTTATTTCTTTATTTCAAACATCCAGTGTGGATTTTAGATTGTGTGGAAAGTAGCGAAATACATATGTAGTTCTCATAACACATACGTAGTTCTCATTAACACTGATCTACTCCTCCAGCATATTACCATCAAGTACATACTGCATTTGAAAGTTTTACATTCTGTTTCCCACTGGAACTAGTTTAGAGGTGTCCGTACCGAGCCATCTACTTGAATGCTTCTGATGCACTACTCTACCTTTGCCATAGCTGTATCCTCATCCTAAAGTTTACTGTTAGTAAAAGTTACAGATTGGAAGATGATCCATTTCTTGCTTAGTTATTTGTGTGGAGTATTAGTTTTAATATTTAATGTTTGAGCTGCTTTAGAAAAGTGAGACTATCAGATAAGAAATGCATAGTCCTTTTATAAAAAGATAGTCTTTCTTTTTTTCTTCTGTGTACTGAAAAGTGGTAATTTTTAGCAGTACTAATGGATTGGCCTGAGTATGGATTAATATTTTTTCTTTGTTAGGGCATACTTTCTCTATTACCTCCTTTCACCCTGCAAGGAAATCATTTAACAATGACCACAGTGCTTCACTTGTATAAATACCCAATTATACCTTTTCTTGTCCTTCTGATAAACATTTTGTAGACAGTGTACAGTAGTCTTACATCTACATTAGTATCCATTCCACTAAAAGTTTACTAACATATAATAATAGTTAATTAACAATCCTAACATGTGCCAAATGCCTCCTGTGTTATACAGGTCTAAGACCTGGTTCGAACTTACTTTTGGACAAGTGTGTGAATTTTGACATTCCACAGAACTAATATATTATTATGAACTCACTGAATGGTGAATAATTGGGTGTGTGTATATATGGTTTCTCAAAGTAAGATAAGGTGGTTTTGGTGTATGGTAATTGCATGGCAGTTCTTCCTTGTTGCCTGCAAGGTATGTATCTGCCATCCTTACCTTCCTTTTTGCGATATATTTACATTTGTAGGATTTTAACTCTTCGGCTAATCTGAATTTTCTTAAAGAGTAACATACTGTTGATCTTTGTAGGTATAACTATGAGGTTTACACAATGTGAGGACTCAGGTTTTTATATCTTGTAACAAATTCCCAATATTTGCTATCAAAAAGTATGAAGTATTTATATATTTGTGGTGCTATACAAATCAAATAGTACTTCTGAGGATTAAAAATATAAAATATTTAAAGGAATTTCTATTGATATACCTTTGCTTTTGAAAGAATTTACATGGCTGTAGCATGAATGGCAATGATGGCTTAAAACATTGAATTTTTGGTTAAAAAAAGTTTTGTTTCCCTTGCAGTCTCCCTCAGTTTCCCAGAGTGCTAGGATTACAAGCATACACCACCACAGCCAGCCTAAAGAGTGATAGTCTGGTTTACTGTCCTCGAGAAGTCATTCCATAATCTGCACACTTCCATTGGCAAATTCCAGTAATGCCTCAGTTCAGAATGCTTTTGTTTGTAGACAATTTGGTTCACAAATGGAAGGATTTGTCAAAAAATTTTTTTATTTGCAAACTCTGAATCAGGTGACAAACACTACCACAACAATCTTTCCCACGCAAACTTAAACATGGCCATTTTTTCCAAAATCATAAAACAGATTAAGTTTGTGAGCCAAGGGGCCACTATAAATGCCCTTTATGTACAAACACTGTCTTAAGGAAAATGTTTAAATTACTTTGAAGAAAAATGGATGCCTTTAGCATGCCTTTCAGTACTAAAACAAAAAAAAAATTACTTTTCAAAATGAAGAGGGAAAAGGAGAAGGAAGGAGGGTAGCAGAAGTGAGGGGGATAAACAGGAGGAGGAGAAGTGGTAGAACTCGCTAAGGTGAATATACACTGGGCACCTCAGCCCAATATTTGAGACCCTGTCTCAAAAAATTCTGTGATGAATTACTATATCAGAAACTTTTATGAGACACATCTATCATGTATCAATGGAATTAGGTTGGTTGTTTTCACTTGTTGGAGTTCTAGTAAAATACCAGTGATAATATATACCTCCATAGGAATGTATTTATCTAGATATAGATTTAGAGATATAGATAAATATAGATACAAATTTTTTTTGGTTCTGAGAATCGAAATCAGGATCTTATGCTTACCAGGCAGGTGTGAACAACTTATATTTATAATAATGAAGTTTATAAAAATAGTATTTGTGAAACTATTGAGTGGTTTTTTACTCATGACCATGAATGTACAATTTCTAATAAGCTTTAATCTTTACTTATTTAGGTTTTTAATATGTATGATAGTTCTATCTATTAAATAGAACTGTCTTTTGGGGCTCCTAAATGCCCTAGAAAAATTTAAATTATCCTCACTCCATTTATCATTATTAATATTTATCTGTGAAGGTAAAAAGGGAGAAGTAAATTTGGTATGGACTTGGAGCAACAAAATTTAATGCTTGATTTGGGGGGCAAATCATTTTATGTTTTACTTGATAGGTATAAGGACAGGAGGTAAGAATATGCATTTAAATTCTTGAAGAGTTAATCCAATAAAAGTGTAAAGAAGTTTATATAATTTATTTGAGGTTCCTAACCTCTTTCAGGGATTTGTTACACTTATTTATGATAGTTTCTATGTCCTGCCCTTACATAGATTGAAAAGTATTGGCCTTTCAAGATCATCCTGTTGCAGAATATTACTGTATTTTGAGGCGATGATATATTAAATAGAAGAGTACTGAACATTTTTTTTTTTTTGCTCTTGAGATTTATAGAAGGGAGGAGAGGCACTAGAATGGATCTGAAACAAGGCTAAGAGGCCTGGATTTAATTTTAGTAATTAAAAGTACATGGAGTCTAATGAGGTCTGGCACTTGGTTTTTCTAAAATGAATTACTTTTTTTCTCTTCTCTGCTTCCCACAGGGAACCAGTTTCCTCCAATTGCAGCACAGGACCTTCCTTCTGTTCTAAAGGCTGGCTACCTGGAAAAACGCAGAAAAGGTGAGCTGTCAAATTCTAATGAAAAGTGTAAGAATCATTTCACCTGTAGATAAAACATGTTTACAGTATACCTGTGGAGCTGGTACTCTTTAGATGATGGAACCGTTTGGGACTGTAAAAAAAACATCTGGACTACATCTAAAACATAAAATACTTGATTTAGCATCAAATAATTTTAAATTATAAAACAAAACATTGGATTGGATGGTTGCCAGCCTGGGCTCTTTATAAATGATTTAACAGCTGGTTCTTGTACCTTCTAGAAAAGCTGTGGGCCATGCTAGTGTTCTCCAGGCTGGGATTTCTCACTGTTATCCCACCCTGGTGAGTAGCTGGCCATCCTCGCCCTGACTGCCGTACACCATGTCTGCTGTGGTCACAGCACGCCTGGCATCTTGCCTGCCATTGTCAAGTATTCATTTCAGTGTTCCCCTTCATTGGCCATGATAATTGGGAGTTGACCAGATGGTCTGACTCTTTCAACACCCAAATCTAATGGGAAGGAAATATGGAGTTGATGTTAAGATATAGAAAATGAAAAGCAGAAAGTCTCTTCATTGCTGTTCTGCTTATCCATCAGGTAGTCTCTTTGGGCCCTTCTGTTTATTTTTCCTTTGCTTTTCTTAGCTGAATTTTACAGCTGAAAGAGATAATAGAAATAACATGAATTAGGTGCTCCCCCTTCCTTTTATAACATGAGAAAATGAGATCCAGATGAATTGACGGTTTTTTGATGCGTTTTTGAAACTGTTGGGAAAGTTTGGTAGCCGAGCAATTGAGCCCATGAGTGTGGCAGCTCCATTTTTGCTTTAGTTGATTCCTTTTAGCTTAGTTGGTGGTGGTGGTAGTAATGATTTGTCTCTTGAAATAGAAAATACAGATTAACTAGTCACAGAACATTAGAGCTAAAAGGAGTCGGACAATTGACGTTCCCTTTATAATAAAGAGATGGCTTTACATTTATATCAGTCCTGTAGGTTACTTAAATGTTCCTTTTTTCTCCTTTTTTACAGATCACAGCTTTCTGGGATTTGAATGGCAGAAACGGTGGTGTGCCCTGAGTAAAACAGTGTTCTATTACTATGGCAGTGATAAAGGTAGTATTGCTTGCTGTTCATTTACATCAACTATTGCATGAACAATTTGGGGCCATTTTTACTTACCCCCTACCCTAATTTTTGGTTTCAGAGTAAACTGAACACAAGTGAAAAAAGAGCAGTGTAAATTTTAACAGTTATAGTCTGAGTAATTTGTACTTCCATTTCCTTATTTGACAAATACTCTGAATTCCAAACTCTGTGTCCCAAAGTTAACACAGTGGTGTTTTAATGAATTAGAAAACAGAGTGAAGTAATTTTCATCCATGTGGTCTTTCACTCTAGAAATATTTATCACCAGGTTACAGTTATAGAACTTCTAGAAAGGCAAACAGTGTAGAGATATGAAAAACTTAAAAGCAGAAAAAGAAAATATTTTAAAAGAAAAATTCAGATAAATGTATACAACACTCTTTTGATCCCCCTTTATTGATTTGAATAATGGCAGGAAGTATGTTCACTGTATCCTGGACGCTGGGTAAGCACTTTAGCTATCTAAGCATATCAGCTATATTAACCTGTTCAACTCCCAGCCTCTTATGAGGTAGATACTGTTACTAGCTCCACTTACTTTACTGTTAGGAAGACAGAGGACAGAGAGGTTAAGGTTTGTTCAGAGTCACAGAACTATTAAATGGCAGCTCTGGGATTTGCCTAAACCTACACAGAGTCCAATCTCTTAACCGCTAGTGTTACTGTAATGGTTAGAACACTGCGATGTTTTTTGTAATTTCATGTTTTAATTAATAAACCTTTTAGTTACAGCTCATATAACTTTTAAGTTTCTTATTGGAAGAAACAAAAGCACAAAATAATTAAATTTAAGGCATGTAAATTCTTAGTTTTGCTTTTTTTTTCCCCCCTTAGGGAAAACAGGGCAGAAGTTGAATATCACTACTTCATTTTGCTCTTTATTTATATTTTGGACCTTTTATAGAAGAGAAACCATATGATATTTAAATTTGTGTGTCTGATTTATTTCACCTAACATTATTGTCTCTAGGAAAGAGTTGGAGGGAGCAAAGAGGGATGGGAGGAGAAGGGACAAAAAAAGATTTAAGGTGTAGTATGTTCATGTGCAAATTTCCCACTATAAATGTAGTCATTGTGTACTGGAAGCATGTACTGATAAGATGTTGAACTTCATAAATTAAGGTTCATGCAGAAACAGGTAACCTTTGCTTCCAGAAAGCGCATTGCAAGGAAAAAAGACATCTAAGCCCAGAATCACTGAATATAAATTTTCACATGGAATTGTTACTTAACAGTGTTATTTGGAAATTTTACTTGGTATTATTTGCAGTATTGTGGTTTTTTCCTTATAAACTTGATCAAATGAAGTTAATATAGTTTGGATAAATTTAAAATACATAATGCTACAAGTTGATCTCATCTTTTGGGGTAACAAATTAAGACTTTGTCAGTTCGTATTCTATCACTGATATATAATATGTTCAAGTATAGTAAGTGATCATCAGTGAAATGTAAGCTGTAAACATCTAGAAACAAGTGGCCTTTCTTTTATTAAGGGTAAGAAGGTGCTTTTGTTGGAAAAGTTAGAGTCCAAATTCAGTCATGATTATCATAGATTGTAAACTTGTTTTGCTACTACACAGAGATATTATTTTATTGTGAATTTAGATCAAATTTTGCCTTTCTACAGAGTAACATTCTCTTTTCACTAGAAGAGAGGAGGGAGATTTCAAATCCTTGTGGCTTTGAATTCTCATTTCTGATCTCGTTAAGAATCAGTGATGGGTAATACTCCACTGTATAAAAACCCCCACATCTTTATTCATTCTTTTGTTGATGAGCATTTGGACTGTTTCCAAGTTTTAACTATTAAAAACTGTGCTGCTGTAAACATGGGTGTGCATATATTGCTTTTAGTTCTTTTGGGAAGATACCAAGAAAGGGAATAGCTGGATGGACTAGAGCGTCTAGTGTTGGTTTTTTAAGGAATCACCACACTGATTTCCTCAGAAGTTGCACCAGTCTGCATTTCACCAAAAGTGGAGAAGGGTTCCTTTCCCCCCAAAGCCCAGCTAGCATTTGTTAGTAGTTGATTGCTTGATACTAGCTGTTCTTTCTGAAGTGAGATGGAATCTCAGCATTGTTTTAACTTGCATCTCTCAAATAACCAGTGATATTAAACTTTGTTTCATATATTTATTTGCCATTTGTACTTCTTCATTTGAGAAGTGTATACTCATTTCAGATGGCCATTTTTGGACTGAGCCTTTAAATTTAGGAGATACAATTTTTTTGAGTCCTTTATGTATTCTCTGTGGTGGTCTTTTGTCTGTGAAACAACTGGCACCAATTTTTTCCTCACTCCCGAGTTTCCTCTCCGTTGATTTCTTTCCCTGTGCAAAACCTTAGTAAGATGAGATCCCAGTTTTTGTTTGTGATATTTCCTGTGACATAGGAGTTTTTGTCATAAAGGCCTTGCCTATACCTTTGTCTTCAAGAATTCTACCTATTCTCTCTTCTGGAAGATTTAGTGTTTCTGTTTAATATTTAGATCTTTGATCTGTTTTGATTGTAGTGTAGAGCATGCCAAGACATATGTCAGTCATAAAGAAGAATAAACCTGAGACATTTCTAGTCTCAGAAATGGATGCACCTTGAGACCATACTTTAAAGTGAAATAAATCAGACACACAAATATAAATATCCCAATATTTCTCTTGTGTAAGAAAACAAAAGTGTAAATAAGGACCCAAATGAATAATAGATATTGTGAAATAGGAGGAAAATGTTCAAATGGGAAGGGGAACTATGGAGGGGGGGAGACAGGAAAGAAGAGAAAAAAATAATAAAAAAAGGAAAAATGAAAACAAAGGTTTCATAAATCAGGAGGAGAAGAAAGGTAGAACAGAGAAAGGGAAATGGAAAAAAAGAATCAAGCTATATCATGCTAAATTATGTATGATGAATGTGATCACCAATAAACTTAATTTAAAAAAAGAATCAGTGATGAGGAAGGAGAGGTAAATAGAATTAAACATGTACCAACTCCTTACAATGAATGTAATCCTTATGTACTGCAGACTTGTACTGATAAAAACAGAAATTTAACTTAGAATCAAGGTCAGTGTTTATATCATTCATAATTGATATATAACAACTGTTAGGTCAAGGATCAGCAAGACTGTTTCTAAAATTCCAGAACAGTTTACTTCTGTGTCAAAGACCAATATTTTATTTCTTAGATATTAAATTTTCATTTATGTTCTTACTTGAGACCTTATGGTGGTAACATTCTTAATAATTTCAATTTAACTACTTTGTAATCCACTTAGCGCCTTCAACCACTTTTGTTTTCTAAAAATTGGCATTCTAACATTTTTTTATGTTGTAAAGAAACAATAGCCTATCTTTCATTTCCTTAAAAGTTTTTCTGTCTATCACTGTGAAGCCTCCTGTTTCCAGAGTGGTTTCAAGCGGCTCTTTTCTCCTTTGGCTTTTCCTTTGGAATGCTCAGTTTGTTTCTCTTCTTTTCAGGACTCAAAAAATTATCTCCCTTTAGATATTTTTAAATGGTTTATTTGGTGTGATCCTGACTTCCTTCCTTTATACATTTTTCTTTCCAGGAAAATGTATCAAATAAAAGTATTGTTTTCTTTCATGAAACCAGGTAACTGGTTTTTAAAGCCTTGTTTTTTGTATGTATGAACCATTTACCCAAACTTTGGGAAGAGCTATTTAGATATATGAGAAGTATAATCTTCCAACTAAGTAGGATTTAGATGAATGGATTATAGATGCATGGAAGGAGTTGATACCACTTACTAGGTTAAACTGTACTTTGTTACTGTTTGACAGATACATAGCTTACAATTTCTCCCTTATGCATGTGCCAAAAAATATATTGACCTATCAATATAGTAATGGCTTAGAAAGAGTAGTTCCATCCTCTAGGGTATATAATGCACTTACCTTTGTACCTATAAATATTGTGTGTATTTATTATTCATAGCCATTTGGAGCCCTTAAGTAACAAAATATATGGTACATTTTTTATCACTTTATGAAATCACATCCATTCTCTCATCTCCTTCCTTTTCCTGTGATTGTCATGAGACTCATTCATCAGACTTCCTAGATCCTAGATGTTCAGATTTCCATCAAAGCTTTCATTCATTCACTTATTTATTTTTCTTTTATTTGGTAAACATTAATTGGCTACTTGGTAGATAACAGGCACTGGGACTCCAAAGATCCTTGGAAGTGTTCACTGTTTGGTTTGTGTGGGTAGTAATGAGAGGAAGAGAGGATGCTGTGGGATCTGATGTGAGGGGCTAAGCAGAGAGACATAATTTCAATATAGTTGCAGTAAGAAATTAAAAAAAAAAACTTTGGACCACATAGAAATGAAAGATAACCACCTGGGGAAATTAGGGAGGATCCCCTAGTGGAGAGAGCACTTCACTGAATCTGGCCTTGATGCAATGAGAAGGGGTTTGAATTCTGTAGTTTAATGTCTTTCCAGAATTTGTATGTTGGAAACCTAACTTGTAAGAAGACAATGTTAAGAAGAGTGGTTTTCAGGAAGTGATTAGGCCATGAGAGCTTTACTTTTCTGAAAAGTTCCCTTGCAAAAGAGGCCTGAGTGACCTCTGGAGACTTTCTTTTGTCCAGAGCATTTTTGGGGCATGGTGTTTGTCCCCCTTGGAGATTGCAGCAACAAAGTATCATCTGGAAGCAGAGAGAAGTCCTCACTAGATGCTGAGACCACTGACCCTTGATCTTGGACTTCCCAGCTTCCAAGACTTGGAATAATAAATTTCTTCTATTTATCCATTATACAGTCTTGGGATTGATAGCACCAAAGGAGGATAAAATAAACATTCCTGGCAAAGAAACAGCAGAAATTTTGAGTTGTGAAAGGGAATGAATTGTTGTGTTCAAGGCCAGAGCTGGAATAGGTAAGAGCAGAGGACTCAAAGACTAAAGAAGTAGATAAGATCAGATTGGTAAGAGCGTTCTGAGAACAG